GGTTCAGGGGTCCATATGGTTTCATCACTGCAGGTTGAACTTTAAACTTGAAATCACACAGTGGAAAATTATAATTATGGGACTCGTATTCAAACAGGTTTTTACTCCACTTCCCAAATTCCTTTTACAAACAAGTTAGAGCCAACCATATGTGTTCTGTCCTTTCTTTCAATACAAGGGGACTCAAAGACTCGATTGGACGCAAAGCTGTATTTCTGTTTTGTAGAGGGCAGAAAGCTGACTGCATATTTCTTCAAGAAACTCTGATGCATCAGACGTTAAGTTTTGGACTCAACACTGGGCTGACAAAATCCTTTTTAGACATGGCACGAATCAAAAGGCAGGAGTAGCCGTATGCTTCAACAGATGCCTCAGTAAGATCATAAGTGATACGGCAGATAATGACTGATATTGGATAGCATGTGTTCTAGAGACTGATAGTGTTCTTCTTATTCTGGTTAATCTTTATGGATACAATGATGATTCTAAAAACAAATCTACTGCATCAAGTGACAAAAACCATCAAGGAACTAAATGCTACATTTCCCGCTGATCGTATTCTGGTTGGAGGTGATTTCAGTCGAGCTCCTGATGAGTGGATGGATAGACGGCCATCTAGATATTTACCAGAACATAACAATCAGATTAGTGGGGATTTCATCAGTAACAACAGATTGAGAAATGTCTGGAGAACTTAGATCAGAGATGTGCGACACTTTACTTGGTTTAAGCCTAACGGACGAGCTAAATCCAGGATTGATTACTGGCTAATTTCAAACTCGATCTTAAAGCATGTCACTGAAACTAATAGTTCAAACAGTCCCTAAAGTCATCACAGTATAATTCATTTGAAGCTAACAGAAAATAATAGAACTAATAAATCCAAACATTACTGCAAGTTTAATGAGGAATACTGCAATGATATTAAAAAAGTAATTGCAGAGATTAAAAATGACAATTGTTTTGTTCCTCCTATTCAGAAATGGGAACATTGAAAATTCTGGATTAGAAAACATATTGCATATTACAGGAAATTAAAGTGAGTGAAGAGGACAAAGAAAGAATTCACAACCTGCAGTCTCAGTTGGATGAACTTTATCTCAGTAAAGCCAAGGGAGCATATATAAGGTCCAGAGCCAAATGGATTGAGGATGGAGGAAAAATCCATCATATTTCTGCAATTTAGAAAAGAACAGACAGGAAAAAACCCAGTTTCTCATCGTAAATGGGGAAGAATGTAGAGAACCCAAACACATCATCAGACTCCGGTCAAAAGGCTGAGTTACTGTTCAAAAGAAAACACAATCTGATTCCTGTAGGTGATAAAGATATAATGATGGCTTTACATTATTCTGGGATTTCTTTGAAGCCTTTGACTCAGTCGAACACTCAGTTATTTTTGACACCCTAAAACACTTTGGATTAGGCCACAGGTTTTTAGATCTGATTATTATGCTGCATACAAACATTAACAGCTGTGTCTCCCTCCCAGAGGGCACGGGCCCCAGATTCATTGTAGGAAGAGGAAGAAAACAAGGACCCAGTATTTCTCCTCTTTTATTTATTGTGCTTTCTGAACTACGGTTGAACACAGGACACATCTAATGTGATCGCTAACTGTACTCTCTCATGATGTCCAGGGCCTCAGAGTGCTGGAGCAGGACAGGATCAGTGTCAGCATCTGCAGGCTGTCTGTCTGGAGCAGGGACAGAACAGGACGGTTGGAGAGATGCTTGCGAGGACCTCCTTCTCCTTCTCAGCTCTCAGTCTCGTAGCAGGAAAGTCGAGCTCAAACTGTCTCAGGTCTCCTTGTATCGTGGCAGTTCCATGTTTGAACAGGTTTACTGTTATTCTGCTGGTGTCAGAGTCATTTTCTTGCAGTGCACTTCTTTTCCTTTTGATAGCTGGGGGGTAGTCGATGGTTTCAGAGTGTGGAGACATCATGAAACAGGTGTTGATCTTTGAGCTTCTGTGTTTAAAACAGCGTTACTGCTGTTTGATGCTGTTGCTAGGTAACCACAGTCCAGTGTTAGCTTGTTAGCTATTAGCTTGAGTGTTTCAGTTGGGACTTGTTTTATGGTAATAAATATAAAAACTTACTGATTTCAGTGTCCAGTAGTTTGCTGTAACTTGTTTATTTTTGTTCTCTCCTTGTTTGTTTCTCTTCAGTTTGATGCTGTTTTCTGAGCTCCTTCTTCAAACTGTATCTCTTTTTCTTCGTTCTCCTCTTTTTCTCTCCTCTGGCATATTATAAAAAGTCGGTGTTTTTTTGGACAAGCGTTTTTTTTTAGCAGCAAGTCTCAAACATGACTTCTCAGCAACAACAATCTCTCTCTCTCTCTCTCTCTCTCTCTCTCGCATGCCGTGCTGCCGACAACTGCATGCATGTAGTCGAGTATTTAACAGACTGAAGGGGTGATACACTGTAAAAAATATTTTTTGTGTGGGAATAAACACTTTATTATATCACCACTTCAACAAATCCTGACTGCATCATAAACCACTGGAGTTTAACAGTGTGTGACTCCCTCTGGTGGACGTTGTGGAGTATTCTGTTGTCTTTGCTCCAAAGGTTTTTGTACAGAGTTTTGTTGTTTCCTGTCACTGTGGGCTTCACAGCACAGTAGTACACAGCAGAGTCTGTCACTGCAGCAGAGGAGATCTGCAGATGAAACTCCTTTGCTGTTTTGTCATGTTTAAAGATCCACCGTGCTATATTCTCTGAAAAATCTGCAATGAGAAACTGTGGAGATGAACTGGACTTCTGTTGATACCAGTAGAGGTTGTAGACAGAAACTGAATAGTTGCAGGAGAGAGTCACAGAGTCTCCTTCCAAAGCCAGCATTACATCTTTAAATGGTTTCACTAAATCCTCAGAGGATCCTGAAAAAGACAAAGATAGATTTCACTCTGATATTTGGAATTTATTAAATATCTTATGTTAGCATAAAACATTACATTCAAAATTTATTTTCATGTCTACATCTCCTGCTACATCTTTTAATTTCTCACCAGTGTGAAACATGAAGATGATCATCCAAACTAAGCAGAGCTGCATCATTTCCACTTGTACTGAATGAACAATAGAGAGAACACAGCAGCTTTTCACTTCCAACATGAAGCCTTTCATATTCAGTTGTGGAGCTCCTCCTCTTGCTGAAACATCAAAAGCTCTGACTGCATCCTGCCCTTCACAATATTTGAGCCATTATTATCCTCTCTTTGTCTACTGGAATTTGCCCCCCCCAGTTTTAAACATGCCACTGCTTAGCCCCCCTTAAAGTAGCTCTCTCTGGATCCTTTTGTTATAAATAATTTTAAACCCACCTCTAAGCTGCTATTTTATACAAACTGCCTCCACTGAACTGATTTCTTTTATAAACGACAACCAAATTGTTAAATGTTCTATCTGGTTTTTGCTGCGTACACAGCACTGAGACTCCTGGTCAGGGTCACCATGACTTACTGCTTGCTGCTGTCACAGGCCTGTTCTCCAGCTCAGACTTTGACTCAGTGAACCACAATGTCTTGATGATTCGTCTGAAGAACCCTGCTGGCCTCAGTGATGTGGCTCTGGATTGATTCATCTCTTATCTGTCAGTCTGACAGTCTTTCTCTGCTATATTTCTCTGCTCTAGTTGGCGGTAGCGCTTTAGCATCCACTGTGTTGAGTTTTGCCGGACGGGGAAGCTAACTTCGGGTTTAGCCCTCCGCTAAGTTGATTGGGGGTAAAATTATATACGTTTGGCTGTTATAGATTGGATTCTGATAGTGAAACGAGTCATTTTGCTTGAAATGTGACGCTCAAATATATAACATATATTATAACACATAATATAACATCCTGTATTAATTTATAACATTTCTGTTATCAGTGTTACATTATCAACAGGTGACTTTACATAACTTTGTCTTTGTTTCAATTTAACACATCATAAAAACACATACATGGTACCATGGCTGTTGCTACGAGCCATCCGGTCCTTACAAAACCAGAGTGAGAGCTGTGTCCGTTTTCTCAGCAGGTGGGTGTTGGGAAGGCCAGGGTTGTCCCTTGTCGCACATTATGTTTGTGATTTTCATTAACAAGATCTGAAGGTGCAGCCGGGGGAGGAGAGTGTTCGGTTTGGGGGACGGAGAATTTCTTCTGTTATTTGCAGATGATGTGATTCTGTTGGTTTGATCAGACTGTGACCTCCAACATGCACTGGGACAGGTTCTAGTTGAGTGTGAAACGGTCAGGATGAGAGTCCCTTCCCTTGTGGGTTTGGAAGTGAGTTGTTGCTCCAAGTGAGGGCGTTCATATATCTCAGGGTCTTGTTCACCAGTGAGGGTAAAATGGAGCGTGAGATCAACAGGCAGATTGATGCAGCGTCAGAAGTCTTGCAGATGTTGTACTAGACCTTCGTGGTGAAGAGAGAGCTGAGCGTGAAAGAGATGAAAAGATATTGAGCTGTATTCTTTACATGATAGTTGCTTTTAGTGAATTCTCAAACATTTGACACATCTTCACTGTCTGACTGAACACTTGAATTATAAAGTACTGGACCCACTGTGACCTGGTAAATGTAACTTGAAACTAGTCCAGCAGCATAATCCAGTTGTCAGCTGATGATCTGTTTGTTCAGCATTTTCCAAACTCAACATAGTTAAAGACTCTACTTCTGTGCTGCGTTATCACCTCCCCACATCTCTGAAGTTGTGGATTTACAGCAGCAATTAACAAAGTGATGCTACAAACTGTTGAGTCACCTTTCAAGCTTACAGGTGGAGAGGATTTGATAGTGAAACGAGACATTTTCACTGGAATATTCCATTCAGACTAACAAAACCCACATCTGGATGCTGAGATCTGGAGGTGGGCAGTGAGTTCGGGGCAGCCGTGGCGCAGGAAGTGGAGGAAGTCAAAGGGTTGGTGGTTCAGTCCCCAGCTCCTCCTGTCCACATGCTGAAGTGTCCTTGAACAAGACTCTGAACCTGCTGCAGCTCCACCACCACCATCAGTGAGAGAGAGTGTGTCTGTTTGTCTGATGGAGAGAATCACTATGAAAGGCCTTGGTATAAAGAGCGTTCTGTACATGCAGCATATTTAGTGTTTAGAGGAAAGTTTGATGGTTGATGATGTCGTTATTCTTCAGAAGACAAAGAAATCATGTTAAGATCTTCAGTAACTCATTTTTTTATTAGCAGACTCCTGACTGTATCAACACACTGAAGTTTAACAGTGTGTGACTCCCTCTAGTGGACGTTGTGGAGTATTCTGTTGTCTTTGCTCCAAAGGTTTTTGTACAGAGTTTTGGTGTTTCCTGTCACTGTGGGCTGCAGAGCACAGTAGTACACAGCAGAGTCAGACAGCTGAAGCTTCTGGATCTTCAGAGGAACTGATTTTGAGGTGGAATCAACTGTTGATGAAAACCTCTCCTTAAACTTATCCTCTGTTTTCACATCGTTCTGTTGCATGCGACTCAGCATGAATCTGGGGCTGTTGTTTCCATCCTGTTTGTACCAGAACAAAGTTGGACTTGCTCTACTCGTCTCAAAAGTACAGCCAAGTGTAACTGTGTCTCCTTCAGCAGCAATGACATCTCCTGCTGGCTGGGTCACTCTGTCTTCTCCTTTACACTCTGGGGAAGAAGAGAACATGCAGAGGAAGAGATGGATCAATAAAGATGATTGATTAAAGGAGAACAATCAGTAGATTTAAAGAGTTACCTAGCCAGAGAGTCAGAATCAGGATGTTTCTCAGCCAGTGGTTCATGTCTGCAGTGAGAGGGGAGGAGAGAGAGGAAGAACATTGATACTCTGATGGATCTGGGCCTTCACATCATTGGCCCTTCCTCTTCATCATCTGTTGAGGAACTCTCAACATTTACATCTCAGCTGTTTAGCTGATGCTCTTATCCAGAGCAGCTCATAATGAGGAGCTTTAACATGTGAACTTTCTGTTACAACAAAGTCTCTTTAACCACTTTTCACCCTGGTAGAATTATGAAATCATCATCATCAGTCTGTAATTTGTATTTATCTTTTCAGTGTTTGTAAAACAAGGACTTCCTTCTGTTTTAATGCTGACAGGAGTAATATAGTAACTTGTCATTAGATTGTGTTGTCAGTGTCCACTTGGTGGCGCTGCTGTTCAGTAAACGGCACCTGAAGGAAGAGATAAATGTTGTTAATGACGGTATCAAACTCTGACTGCCTGTTCCAGTGGTTTCTAGGAAACAGATCCCTTGAAGGTTTTTCTTCTTCCTGCTTTAACCTACCTTTTAGTATGGTCAGAAACAAAGGAACAATCACACAGTAATGCAGTGACTCCATCTTCCAGACAGTATCTGTGTTCTGTCTGGTTTACATATCGAATGCATCTGACAGTAGGAGTCCTTTTCTGTGCTGCTCTTCTCTGACAGTGTTGCTCCTCCCTCAACCTATTCCTCCTCTCATGTCACTGTATGTTACCAACACCAACACCAGACCGACATATATTTTAGCCTTTAAAGCCCAGAGAGATAAACCTCTGTTCCTCTGCTGGGTTTCTTTGGGTTGGTTTTGCTTCTTTTGCACAATCATCAGTAAAGAAGGAATCTGGTTAAATATGCTCTCAAAGCCTCATGGAGGGTCTATAATTAATATTCAATGTTAGTGGTGTGGTTTGTGTTCATGTTTAAGTCTGTTTTTGGTTCTGTGTTTCTCTGTGCAGCCTTGTTTATTATTTTATTCATTCGCATTTTTAAGTTTACTTAGTATCCGTCTTGTCTCTTATCTTAGTTCTTAGTTCTTAGTCCTGCATTTTAGTTCTTTTCCTCAGTTCTTAGTCCAGTGCCTTAGTTCTGAGTTCTGTGCTTTAGTTCATGTTAATGTTATTCCTGGTCTGTGTATTTCTGTTTTATTATCTGATCTTGTCTCATTTAGGGTTTTGTAGCTTAGTTTATTATGTTTATCTGCATGTTTTTACCTGTTTGGGTCCTTAGTCCCATGTCTCCATGTTTTAGTGTAGTCCTGTCTCCTGTTTGGTCCTGTCTCTGTTCCCTGCCCTGATTTGCGGTCTTTCCATGTCTTGAGTTTTACTTTGGTAGATCTGTCCTGGTGTGTTCCCGTGTGCTTTTCTTCCTGTTTTACTTTGTAGTGTTCAGTTCTCATGTGTCCTTGTCTAGCTTTGTTTCTTGTTGTTTGATTACCTGATGCCGTTGTAGTTCACCTGTGCACTCCCTCCATGCTCGTTTGCCTGTGGATATATTGCCCTCAGTTGTTTTAGTTTTAGTGACGTCCTCATCGTCTGATGTTGAGTGTTCTGCCTTGCTTTGTTCCTAGTTCTTTGTCCTGTGTTTTGGATTACCCCGTTTATTTTGGATTACCTTTCTTTTGGAGTTACTTTGGATTGGACTTTGCCTTGAGCTCTCTGGAAGCCTGTGCAGTTAAGTTTCGTTTAAATAAATATTTTTGTTGAACTGAATCCTCCTGCCTGTGTCTGCGTTTGGGTCCACACCTAGGTCTGCACTCGGCTTCCCATGACATTCAAATAACGAGTCATTCTTAAATCACTAATCCCTCCGACCAGTGTGTCATGAATTTTCTCCAGATGTAGAATATAAGATATCTTAGATCTAGGATTTCATAACTGTTTTTCCTAAACCTTTATTTGTGTGATTATTGCATTGAGATAAACTTTGTAACGATTGCAAGGTTCCTCAATAATTGATGGACATGTATTTGGGGCTGTAATTAGTACCCAGGGAGTCGGGTTAAATACTGGTGAACTCTGGTTTAGTCTGTGGGTGGTGTTATTGTGCTGCATCCAGCAGCCTCTCAGATGCACTCACAAAGTAATTTCCCACCAGCAGTACTTCAGTAGTCAGTGTACCTGGTGATTTCCTGGCTCCAAACCAACTCCCTTGTGCTGAGGTTGTGTTCATGTTGATCAGGTTGTGTCAGGCCCACGCCAGAGGTTAGGACTCACGAGGCACGACTCAGCTGGCTTTAGCAAGACTGGTTTATTGCACAAGGTGAGGGACAGGCAGACGTATCTAAACAACTCTAAGGCAGGAATCTGGTCTAACGATCGCTGGTCAGACACACTGGGGAGAAACTCTAGGAAACTACAGTGAGGAAAACAGCTGGATCCATGTTATACAACGAGACGATCTGGCAGCTGACGCAAAAACTAAGAGTATTTATACACAAAGATAAGGGAGGCCATGAGACACAGGTGGGACACATTGGGGCGAGGCAGGTAATCACACAGGAGGAGGCAGACAGGGACCGGAGAGCAGAGGGAGCCTGGAACGAAACAGGGAGAGAAACAGAAAACCAGATCACAGAGGGAAAGTATAAATGTCAACAAAACATGACCTTATCTGCCAGAACTGGGCGTGACAGGTGGAGCTCTGCATTTTCAAACCGGTGTTCACATTTCCCATTAGCAGCTGTAACCACAGTGACTCTGATAAAACAGGAATTAGCAGAATCCATCTGATATGAAGCTGTGGTTTGAATACCACTTCCCTCCTCTTTGAAGAGTAGTCAGATATCTGGGTTCAGGTTTTTGTACAGCCTCTTCTACACTTTGTATCACTGTGTTTCTAGAGCACAGTAGTAGAGAGCTGTGTCTGCCAGGGTTAGATCTCTGATGGTCAGTGTAGTTGATGTTGCTGATGTTTCAGATTCATATCTTCTATCAGGAATATACTTCTGATTACTCCATGATTTTGCTCCTTTCCTGAGTATAAACTGAGGTGCCTGAAGGTCAGAATGATGTCTGTACCAGTGTAGATCTACACCACCTGCTGTTGTCTGATAGTTGCATGTGAGTGTGACAGATTGTCCTTCTCTTTCACTGACTTCCTCTCGTACAGGAGAGATTGTGTCTCCAGCTATTAGTCCTGGAAAAAGTAGAGCAAATGAAGCCATTAGACTAACATTGTTCATGAGGCTGAGAGGAGAAGACAGTGGAAAATGGCAGCTGTACAGTGTTACTCTGTGGACACAAACAGCTCAGCTGTTTCCATAAATCTTTAGAAAAGAATAAAAAGATGTTGTGCTTTCTATCTTACCAAAGAAAAGAGCAGCAAGAATAATCCCCAGCCAATGTTCCATCTCTACAACAAGGTTTAAATCAACAGGAGAAACTAGCTGATGTTCAACATTCAGTCTGAGAATTGTTCTCTTCACAGCAGCAGTTATTATTGACAGAATGGTTGAACACAGTGCAGAAGTAGTGCACCGCCTACTTGATAATGTGGCTCAGCTTGGATTAACAGCAGCTACAGTGTCATCTAGTGGCCAATCAGAATCAGACCACAGAAGAAGAAAAGACGCCACTGAAACTTCATACTAGTCCAGCAGCATAATCCAGTTGTCAGCTGATGATCTGTTTGTTCAGCATTTTCCAAACTCAACATAGTTAAAGACTCTACTTCTGTGCTGCGTTATCACCTCCCCACATCTCTGAAGTTGTGGATTTACAGCAGCAATTAACAAAGTGATGCTACAAACTGTTGAGTCACCTTTCAAGCTTACAGGTGGAGAGGATTTGATAGTGAAACGAGACATTTTCACTGGAATATTCCTTCAGACTAACAAAACCCACATCTGGATGCTGAGATCAGGTCTAGTTTCTGAGTACAGTCCAGTATCACATACAGAGTCTCACTGGGTTTTACATCCAGCAGCATCAGTGAAGACTCCCCATACTGTCCTGCCTTAACATGGAGGAAAACTGATGGAAACCTCACGACAGGAAGTTCAGGGAGACCAAGATGTCGGTGTGTTAAGATCATCAGGAATTTAAACAATATCTTATCTACATAAATAAAATCACTCTCCTTATTGTCAATGCCTCATTTTTCTTCTAGTTTTCATCATCAGTGCAATGAATCCAGACTGTATGATAAACTGAAGTTTAACAGTGTGTGACTCCCTCTAGTGGACGTTGTGGAGTATTCTGTTGTCTTTGCTCCAAAGGTTTTTGTACAGAGTTTTGGTGTTTCCTGTCACTGTGGGCTGCAGAGCACAGTAGTACACAGCAGAGTCTGACACTGCAGCAGAGGAGATCTGCAGATGAAACTCCTTTGCTGTTTTGTCATGTTTAAAAGAAAAACCTGGTTTCTTTGAATATTCTGCGAGGAAAAACTGTGGAGATGAACTGGACTTCTGTTGATACCAGCAGAGGTTTTGTACAGAGCCTGAATAGTTGCAGGAGAGAGTCACAGAGTCTCCTTCCAAAGCCAGCATTACATCTTTAAATGGTTTCACTAAATCCTCAGAGGATCCTGAAAAAGACAAAGATAGATTTCACTCTGACATTTGTCTATTTTAGCAGAAAATGTTAAAACATTCAAAATTTATTTTCATGTCTACATCTCCTGCTACATCTTTTGATTTCTTACCAGTATGAAACATGAAGATGATCATCCAAACTAAGCAGAGCTGCATCATTTCCACTTGTACTGAATGAACAATAGAGAGAACACAGCAGCTCTTCACTTCCAACATGAAGCCTTTCATATTCAGTTGTGGAGCTCCTCCTCTTGCTGTGCTCTGTTTCCATTCAGGCTTTAGAAATGACAGTGATGCTGCAGTCATCATCATGGAACTCAATGTTGTCTTTAAAAATAGTGATTTAAGATGTAAATTTATATGAGAGGCTCTAGGATTGAACCTTGTGGGACACCACAAGAAATCACACCCTGAGAGAACAACAGAGAAACTTCTGTTCTAAAGATAAGAACAAAAGTAATGAAGACCTCAGTCTGTGATGCCAACCAG